ACCCTAGTAGAGGAGACAGATCAGGCCTCCCTGCGGAAGGGCTGCGCAAAATCTTGGTATTCTGAATTTCATGTGAGCTTTAGCAATTCTTCTGAGACGAGTCAGAGGGAGCAGACAGGACAACGGAGTGTGCTTATCTCAACATCACGCTGCAGCGCTCAAGCACGGAGCGTGCGTGCCAAAATCATGCTGAAAATATGAACGTGATCATGTCACTTCTTTCCGTGACATTTTTTTGGCGTTACGCATGAAAACAGCACTGGATGAATCGTGTCTTCCTGCTTCTATCGTTTAACGGTCATTCCACATTAAGAGAATGAGAAGCTACTAAGCATCACACTTTCCATTACATTCTGCGGCTGGTCCCATTCATATTCGTCCATACATATGCACGCCTATCTTGAAACAAAAGACGGCAAAGCCGGTGCCTGTCGGTCCTTGTTTGCCTAATGTGTTCGTGTCTGCCACGCGGCCACATCGACCAGAGGTACTCTGTGCCGGTCAGAGCCGACGGCCGTGAGCGTCAGCCGCCTCATAAATGAAATGTCAGCTTCGTGGCTGTCGAATGCCGCGCCCTGGGACGTGACGATATGCACACTCGGTCCTCGAGAAATGACCGCCATTGTCTGTGCTGCGCGACGTGAGAAGGGCAGGCGGCTGTCCTGCCGCCGCCAGCCGCTGCGGCTGTTTGATGTGGCGTGCTCGATACGCTGTCGGAGCTGACGTACGGAGCGCATATTTCCGCAACAGCTGCCTCCACGAGCGCACAGGCCAGGGCGCCAGTGCCCCGGCGAGCCAGTGACAGCCAGTCACAGCACGAAATATGGGCCGCTGCGCTGAATGGATGCAGGCAGGTGTCGCGAGGCAGCTGGACCAAAGGCCTCGCGGCCGGGTTTATGAGGCTCGCAACACAGCGGTTTGTGGGGCGCCACGTCTGTACGTCACGGTCAACGCAACGAGCCGGACAGTCGCAAGTGACACCGCCTTGGGCGAACGGGCTGGGGATTGGACGGCCGGCCGGGGCTCCCACGCGTTGTGGGTTTGGCGCGCGTCACCTTGCGCCGCGACAAACGCGAGACCTGAGAGGTGGCAACGCTAACGACCATAGCGTCATAATTCGCCGTGGGATGACTGAATGCGGCTTTTTAGCCCGATCCTCGAACACTTTTGTTACTGTGATGCGGGGGTTTAGCAGCAGATTAAATGAGAGCTAATCGCGGGGCGATGCAAGCGGTGAGCTGCGACGGCATGTGACGCGTTAAGATGGCAGCCACGCACAGAAACGGGGCACGCTCGGTTAAGCTCGGGGTCAGGATCAGCGGAGTGAATCAGCGCAGGTCGGCCACGAAAGGAACTAGAGCCACTATTGCAATTGCATGTAACCGCGATGGCGTCCGTCTGTGTGCCTCCGCAATACCAGCGGGAAGACAGAAAGACGTTAGTATTTTCAGCACGGATAATTATCACTCTCGTTGTTGACGCTGTGCGCAAGGCTGCCTTCCAGCGCACATGCGCCATGTGTACGTGTTCACCTGTTCCTCCTAAAATCGGGTAGTTTTCTTCCCGATGATCTCGCAGAAATTTGAAACCGATCTCGAATCAATTCTCGATTAATGTGCTTCTTTCATTGCACACCAGCCCCGTGGCCCTACACAGTCAATGCGCTTATCAATAGTGGACATGAGTGGCATAGCGTATGCCAATATCCTAGAGACATAGCTTCCATTTGTCATACGCTGTGGTGATACCTCTTTAGTGACGGAATCGATTCCTTTCCCATTATGCATCCCTTTGTTGAAAGACACTCTTTGTCCCTGCGCCTATGGATGTACATACACCCACGGACACACTACTCTCTCTCTCACACTCTCTCTCTCTCTCACTCTCTCTCTCTCTCTCTCTCTCTCTCTCTCTCTCTCTCTCTCTCTCTCTCTCCTCTCTCTCTCTCTCTCTCTCTCTCTCTCTCTCTCTCTCTCTCTCTCTCTCTCTCTCTCTCTCTCTCTCTCTCTCTCTCTCTCTCTCTCTCTCTCTCTCCCTGCTTCTGTCTCTCGCTCTTGCCCTCGCCGAAGAGAGCAGTACGGTACGGGAAGCTGGGATATGACCCTCCCTCTGTTCTGAAGTGGGATGGAATAGTTCATTTGACAGCTTGTTTCAAGCCCCAAATGAAAGCAATATTTCCTTGTCATCGGGATGCCCGTTCCTTGCATTGCATTCTGTAACACAGCGGAGCCTATTTCCGAGACGCGAATGGATTTTCACCTTTGCATCATAGCCCATGAAGTTGGTTTCCCATAACGTTATGTGGACACGTTTCATTTCCGTCTTAGGCCTTTCAAGCCGGCCGCTGGTTACCAGACCGTGTGTCGTTCTGTCCGACTGCAGTGGTGCAACTCCTGGTGACCACCACCTCGTAACGAGCGTTAACGCCCTTTTCTACGCGACTGATTGCAATGTCACGTGCCAACGTTATTGAGTTCTCGTTAGCGGCACAAATGCTGAATACAGCGTGCTCTGCGGCGCCGCGTTCTCTGGAATATTTGGTCGTGTCTACGCGAGCTTATTTATTCAATATTGACTTCGTTGGTACCTTGATGTACTAATTTTGTGACGATGACAGTAAGTGATCTTAAAAAAGCACCATGAGGCATCGACAAGCATATGAAGCGTTTATATAATGCATGGCTTTTGCGAATTGTTGTGAATGCCGTACATCACATGTTTTTTGACCACTTGTTTTTACGTGCCTGTCATTTAAATCTGCTAATATGTACTTTACCTGTTTCTTAATGCATGCAATCACTTCAATGACAAGCGCCAGATGGCCCCTGTGACTTCTGCGTGATGCTTGGCTGGTTATTTCCCTTTCAGTGGGAAGAGTGCACAAAGTCTTCTTTTCCCTTTTCCATATATTCTAGGGAGTTTGCACACTCCCGGACTTCTCATGTTCACTGTCTCCGTGGCCGTTAAGGGTCCTTTCACCAACAACTCACTAAATGAAACCCACGGCTTGTCTTGGAAAATGTATTTCGTCAGACAGAAATACTGCGTCGGAAATGCCAACCAAAGTCCGTGCGCGGTTGCTGCGTCTGCGCGTCACGTACGCGCCATTATGTGGTCCGGACGATCAGCTTGTCTATCAAGTAGATGGAACCGAGGTGGGTCTCCCGGGGAGTTATGTTTGCGCAGGCTTACATGACGCGCGTAAAGGAGGAAACTTAAGATGAGAGCCTGAACCACACATGAATTGCTGATATGTAACTGATATATTAGTAGACGTAGACAGTGCTGACCAAATGGGGAAGATAAGAACAAAGCTTGGAGAAATGTCACGTCTTCACTGTACCGGCAGGTCATAATTTAGATAAACGTAAAGCCAGGAAATTTCACGCGTCTCCCAGCGAAACCACAAGTCGTGAGGCTACACACCATAATCTGGGCGACTTAGTTTTCCCCAGTGCAGAGAGATACGTACTCCTCGACCTGCCCTGACCTTGGACAGAATAACCCGCGCAACTGCACTCTCTCCATGTTGTCATTGGGGTTTTACGACGCACTCAGCAGCTTAGGCTAAATGACATCGCCTACCTCTCACCGTGGCAGGCAGGGATGGCTGCTGCGAGCCGAACACCGTGCCTCTGAGTTCCCAGACGCGAGGCACACCACTGCACTACGGACACCCTCATAGTTCCTATGACATGAAGATACGCAAGGCTGGACCTGTCCTGAGTTGCCGCTAAATACCTGAGGCCGACACTGTCGTGAACTCACTTAGGTCAAAGTTCGAGGTTCCTAGGCCATGGCCTTCGGGTCAAATAAGGCCAAACAAGGTCAAATTCCAGGTGGGTCTCCAAAGTGCCTCCAGAACCTAGATAACTATTTCTAAGCAAAAGGCCACATGCTCATTTAAGGTCGGTGACCTTGTTTGACCTTTTGAAGGTCACGGTAATCAAAATCATGCAAGACTGCTCTGAGTTTTGTATTTGAATAAGCGACAAAGTTAACACTAGGCAGTATGCTCGTAAAAACCAAATGTTGCCCTGGGTCATTTTAGGTCAATGACATGTTCTGACTTCTAAGAAGTCCATGAAAGATGTCGAATGTGGTTCCTGCTATCAATAAATTCGAAATGAGCACCAGAAGCTATTCCATACAGCAAGCCCTAGAGTAATAAAACAGGTCGGTTTTGACCTTGGTCTGACCTTTATACCTGGTCTTAGGTCAACGCAATTCGCTCATTCAATTGTTGTGTTGTCTAAGAAAGCATCTCAGAGATGTGTGGTTTCGTCTAGCACTCCGTTGTTGCATCAGATTGAACGATTCCCTAGAAATTGACTTCGCTGAAAGCATAGCCTGACTTTGACCTGCTATATGTCAGCGGCCTTGCAAGGTACGTCTAAGTTTTTCACTAAACGATCCACGATTTAATTGTCCACAGCTAGGTACAATTTGGTGCGGCCATGCCGCGCCGTTCGGAAACCATTCCGGAAAAAACGTTCGGCGGGGTCAATTTGACCCCCGCACGAGCGCGTGTTAATACAGGGAGTCACGTGTTGCTGCCTCTGTCCCGAGCCTGGACATTCTACTCCCGACTAGTCCCTGTCCCCTGGTACAGTGGCAAGAGATACCCGTGTGAGAGTCGGGTAGAGAGTCACGTGCTGCTGTCTTTGTCCCGAGTCCTTAACATTGTACTCCGGATCAACTCCTGTTCCCTGGTACAGTGATAGGGGATGCCGTAGTGTCATGAGTACAAACCATGTACCCAGCCCCTGTCTTCTGCTCCAGGGGACACGCGCTGCTGGATCTGCCCTGAGCTCAGGCACTGTAACCCGGACTAATCCATGTCCTCTGTTACAGGGAGACACTTGTCGCTGGATCTGTTCTTGGCTTAGACAGTGTGCCCCGGTCTAACCCACAATCCCTGCTGCAGTGAGACACGTGCTGCTGGATCTGTCCTGAGCTCAGGCAGTGTAACCCGGACTTACCCATGCTCCCTGTTGCAGGGAGACACGTGCTGCTGGATCTGCGACAGCTGCGAGCCATACGAGTACATGAAGGACCAGTACACCTGCGACGACTGCGGTCACGGCCGCTGGCCCTTCGACGACAAGCTCTCCTGCTACGACCTGGAGGTGCAGTACATGAGGTGGACCTCGCCGCTGGCCATCGGACCCATCGTCATCGCAGTGGTCGGTACGTGATTTGAACAGCAGTGTTCGGTCAGGTAAGGGGAGGTTGAGGCAGGCAAGAGCAGGGGCTTCTTTTAAGCCATGGTCCCCTTGAGATATGACAAGGCAGGATCGGCTGCACAGTCAGTCTGGTCTCACTCGCCGGGCGCGTATATCTTCGCGCTGCCCCGACGGACCTAAAGTCTCATTCATGGCGGAAAATTTACCTCCGGCCGCAAGCCAGGCAAAAGGCTACGCTACGCCGGCTTATGTTATCCGACGCAAAACAAGAGCTAGGGGCTCTTGTTTCTAGGGTTATGTTATGTTGTGCCGGGTGAATCTTGTCCCGATGCAAAGACAATTCAAATAAACCAGCCAGTTCACACATCTTGTGATGCAACACATCAGCACGCCCACAAACTTGGCGCCGAGGCTGCCACCAGCAGCGGGTGCGCATGCGCTGTGCCACGCGCCTTGGGTCAGCAATAGCATGGGGTGGTGTGCTTGAACAACCAGTCTCCAGACACTTGTAGACCCCAGGAACATTGCGCATGATCGCTGGTTGAAATGGGGAGCACTGGACTCATGTTGATATCGGCAAAAACGTGTTCGTCACAGTGGAATTGGTTGCTCATGCATAGACTTGTGTTCGGTTCCAATTTTTGAGCCGGGCCAGGACCGGTTCACATATTTGGCACTTGATTCAGCTCACGACTCATACGTTCCAAATTTGTTGATGAAGCACAGCTCAAACTCATTACTTGCACTCAATTATTTGACTTATGACTCACGCAGCTTGCAAAATCGATGATCTGATTCAGATCCGGCTCATTGCCTTATTACTCGTGAACCATACTAGTCGATGTATATATATGTATATATATATATATATATATATATATATATATATATATATGTATGTATATATACATACAAAATACCAGGGCGTTTACAAGGCATTTTCCGTCGTACTAGTATCCACATTTCGTATTTTCACACTGCGCAATCGACCCGTGATGTGGCGCAAAATGGCACTGATTATGAACCTCGTTTTATGTATAGGGATTGTAATGAGGCATTTCATGAGGGCGATGAATGGTGCATCCGTGGCTTGATAATCCATCGAAATATCAATGATAGTGCACTTTTACGGATACATGTATTACAAATTGTAATAATGTTCTTACCATTGGGACACCTAACTCGTACGTTACACATTAAAAGTACTTGTGCAGTTGACGCTATAATCGGCCAGCACCGTATTTATATGGTCTATGGCATGAGATGGACGTTTCGGATCTGACTTCAGGTATCCTGTTGACGCTGCTGGTGATCGCGCTGTTCCTGCGTCACGACGACACGCCGATCGTGAAGGCGTCGGGTCGCGAGCTGAGCTACATGCTGCTGGCCGGCATCCTCATCTGCTACCTCAACACCTTCCTGCTGCTGACCAAGCCGAGTCCGGCCGCCTGCGCCCTGCAGCGGGTCGGCGTCGGCCTCGGCTTCGCCTTCATCTACAGCGCCCTCTTCACCAAGACCAACCGCATCTCGCGCATCTTCGACTCGGCGTCGCGGTCGGCCAAGCGGCCGAGCTTCATCAGTCCCAAGTCGCAGATCGTGATCGCCACGCTGCTCATCAGCGTGCAGCTGCTGGCCACGGCCGTCTGGCTGCTGGTCGAGACGCCAGGCGTGCGCTCGCACTACCCGGACCGGCACCAGGTCATCCTCAAGTGCCGCATCAAGGACTCGTCCTTCCTCGTCTCGCTAGTCTACAACATGGTGCTCATCGTGGTGTGCACGGTGTACGCCGTGAAGGCGCGGAAGGTGCCCGAGAACTTCAACGAGACCAAGTTCATCGCCTTCACCATGTACACCACCTGCATCATCTGGCTGGCGTTCGTGCCCATCTACTTCGGCACAGGCAACTCGTTCGAGGTGAGTCCATCACCGGCTGATCGATGGGACGATATTTCCAGCGACAATGGATACTCGATCATATTCCCGACGTGCATAGACCCCAGGGAATGATGGAGATGGCTGCCACTCACAAATAATCATATTTGGCTCTCCGGGGACCTAGGTGAAAATTACAGGATGCAGTCTGGGCTGCCATCATGTGCGCATCTAGCAAACAAACGGTTACTTCGCACCACTAGCCTCATTTTCCAGCCGCTATTTTTGGAGATCTAAGCGCTTTGTTTACGACGTCTTGCAAAGTGCCAACATTTCAGTATGGGTATGAACAGAGGAACGCCTACGACTTTAATCTACGACTTTTGAATAAAACGGCTGGAGGCGTTCTGCACACTGACGTTATCCGTCCTTCGTTGATGGCGCGCCGCCCAGGTAATCACCAAAAGCGAAGCCCAGAGGATTCTCTGCGTCCCAGCTTTTACGGTAATGGACAGACTGTTGCAATAATGGACGGACTGTTGCGCCGCCCATTACAGCTAAATCGAATCCGGCTCATCCCTCAGCGCGAGACAATCCGACAGCGCTGTTTCCGAGGGAACGCACGGTCATTCTCACCGTTGCCGAGCCGACCACTTGCACCGGCGCCATTGCTCGGCATGCTCCGGCCAGGCTTCGGGCAGCTGTCCTCTGACGAGCATGGGATGTAAGGCGGATCAATGACAGACGTGATTGGCTGGCGAGGGGTCCGTCGAACGCCGGCGTACGTTTCTGAGTGCATCACCGAAGGGAAGAGGCTCGTCGGCTTTGAGTGCAAGTGATGTCGGCTGAAGATCGGCTATCGACAGCGAAATCAGCTGAATTTGATGTCGGTCATTTGGATTACGATGTCCTGTAGGCCAGTCTCCGTCACTATTGCAGCGATGACGCCGCGTCCGCTTGTGTGCGTGTGGACGACCATGTTGAAACGGACTTTTCCATAATGTAAATATCTCTGGATGCTCTCTTAATTTCCGAGCACATGGGACTCCGCTGTAGACCTGAACGCGTTTGTTTCACGTTTCGCATTATACATGTCATTCACTTCACACATTGATACAGCGCATGTCAGTTATTTGGCAAGCATTAAGCAGAGTTGCTCTAGTGGCAAAGCCACGTATTCCACCAACGAATGAAAGAGGTTGGATAATTGTAAATCGCAAGTAGACAGCAATGAGTCTGTAAAGCGATCGCATTGCAATCATTAGTACCCGACAAAGATGGAGGCGTAAATACGCCTGTGCGACAATCCGCTGGTCAATGTAAGCTCGTGCATTGCTAGCAAGTTTGCAAAGTTGCAATAAGGTCATATATTGCTGGTAAGCTCGTCCATTGTCCATTGCGCTTGGCCAATGTACTTCCATTGTTTCCCGTTCTTCATTTTATCTTTGTGCTGTAGGAATTTAGTGCTTTTAGCGTTGAATCGACAAAATAGCCGGGATATCCGCAGTCGGAAGTCCGATGACGTCACTCAAAGGTGTCGCGACCCTGCCAGTCGCGGCACCTGCCAGTGACGTCATGCCTGGGGCGCGCTGTGGCTGTGTTGTGACCGCGTCATCATTAGGCCTGCCTGCTGTTCACGGCTCTCTGGATTATCACGCCGACCAGAGGCATCTCTTGTGGGGCGTTCTTGTCGAACTTTTTTAGTTGGCTTTGGACAGTGAATTTTTAGTAGTTGACATGTTGGGTTACAGAGGGCATGAGGGGACCTTTATTGAAT